AAATAAAATGTGAAAACATAACTTAGCTTTCGTAAGACAAACTTTTCCGCGCAATGTTTTTTATGTTCAAATGATGAGTACATGTATTTAAGTAGTACTCGAAAACATTGTCCAGTTAGCTTGGTTTTGGCAAAATTTATTTTCTTACCATACTCAACCCCCTCCTCCTTGAAATGAGCTACATAATAAAATAAGTATGTTCATATGTACATAAATGATTTCCTCTAGCCATTAATTATGGCATTATCAAAATTCGTAAATTAAAAAAAAAAATACTATGTCTCGCAGATATGCCTTGAGGAGAGGTTCATAAGGCAGTTAGTCTTCATAAAACACCTCATTTTCACTTAAGGTTTCAGTATTCCCCAATTCTCCACCGATATTATTTATACAGTACAGCGAAATTTCTTTACTACTTTAATGAGGAAGGAATCCGAATCCCCATGAAACCAAATAATAGAGGAGCACTTACCACGTAGAAATTACTGCAAGTAAAATTTTTCCGAATGGTATCTAATTATCTATATAACTACATAAAACGATAGCAGTTTTCGTTGTTCTGCGAGGTGAGCAAAATAAATAAAAGCTTGTAAAATTAGGGTTAGTGTAGAAGCAGTGCAGGTAAACGTAATACTTTCTTTGATAATTGGTAATACATAGTTGCATAATTTTTAAGGCACACATACATGATAACATCCTGAAAAGAATACGAACGTTTTTGAAACTAATTTGTGAAAATAATGTTCAAAGCTCTAGTCACCTTGGGAAAAAAATTTCGAATTAGCAATGCGTAGATTCTCTCAAAGATTTGCCTTTTTTCGAAGGCTTTTCATCAATAGTTGCAGTTATTTTGGATCCCAAACTTAACTGGAAATCAATCATTGAGGTGCGTGCTAGGAAGGCCACTGTGGCTCTCTATGCAGCCAAGAGAATGTTGGGCAACAGATGGGGTTTGAAACCAAGAATTGTGCACTGGATGTACACATCTATAGTCCGACCCATAATCTCTTATGGGGCGCTGGTCTGGTGGCTAGCCCATACTAAGGATTACGTAGTTAAAAATCTAGGCGGAATTCAAAGGTCAGCAGCCGCTAGCGTTTTGAACGTCCTTCTTCACTTATTACCTATCGATAACTCAGCTGCTAACAGCGCCATCAGACTGCGTGCCCTGAATGACCGTTCGGGCACGGTTCCATCCCAGACGCAATACCGTCTGAAATTAAAGCGCTGCCCACTGACTATATCCTGTCGAAGATCTGAGTTCACCATAAACCCCGCACGAAATTCCAAACCCGTAGTGGCTAGCATCAGGAAGATTTCGGGTACTTGCAGAGCTTAACTGTCTTTACGGATGGGTCATAGATGGAAATTGTCCTTCCGCCTACCAGACTATGCAAGCGTTTTCCAGGCCGAAACGTTTGCTATTAAGGAGGTACATCAAAGAGAATGTACCCGTGAGAACGCAAGTGAACATCCTCTCAGATAGCCAAGTGACTAATTAGGTACTTTCTTCTGTTAGATCTCAGCTAGTGGATGAATGTAGGAGAGAGCTGGCCTATATTTCTGATCAATACGAAATTACCCTAATATGGGTCCCGGGACATAGGAGCATCTACGGAAACGAGGCAGCGGACGAACTAGCAAGGAGCGGCTCCGCACTGGATGTGTCCCACGCGGGGGACATGGGCGCCTCACTTAGGGAGATTAAGAAAAAAATTACCGAAATTTATCATTTGAAGGCCAGGCAGAGGTGGAACTGTACAGGACCCTACAGAATTGCCCAGATTTTTGTACAGAAAATCTCTAGTTAACTGCCTATTCTGAGATAACTACGCACTGTGAAATTGGCCCTTAAAGGTTAAATATTGGCATGGCATTGAACTTGCAAAGACTTTAATCCTTAAAATTGTAATCAATTATGACTATTTCACGTGCTTTTCCTAGTGACGCCATTCTGAAGAGAGACGAAAAACGTAATAAAACTCAACTTATGAGACAGTGACAGGGTAAATGTAGACACTGATTACCGTGAAATGAGCTGTACATACCGAAAGGGTTGATGTATGTCGTATATCCATACGTCTTTAAATTGAATGCGGTAGATTCCCATGCCGCAAGCCTATAAATACATACGCGTACACACATACATATCATAGACATATTCACCAGAGCGGGTCGATTTGTAGGGGATCAGAAAAACAGAAAAATCGCATATGCGGAAAATGCTCTACGGATCATTCTGAGCAACCTTGCTTAAGAAACTATGGGTATAAAACCGACTTCGAGCCAGCGAATGTTAAGGGGAAGTTTCATATCAGGTAACACAAATTTTTTTAGGAAAAACTTAAATATTAATAATTAATCTATTAGTGTAAGGGTACAAAAATTTAGTATATATTTTTTTTAGTACATAAATGATCAGAATTGAAAGGAAATCGATAAAGCGGTGACCGTCTGTCCGTCCGTACGTCTGTCCGTCTGTGCACACGATAACTCGATTAAAAACTGAAAATTTTTAACGAAATTCGGTATGTATACTTCTTTTTAGCGCAGAACGAATGGTATTGAAAATAGGCAAAATCAGACAATAACCACGCCTACCTCCCATATAACGGTAGTTTTCAGAAATACGAAAACTGTGATATTTTAGTAACTACTGAAGCTTATTAACTTAAATATAATATTTAATATTTACAATGATTTTTATACCAAAAATAATAATGTAATAATTTTTTTGAAAATGGGCGTAGCCACGCCCACTTATTATTATATCATATGTGTATCTAGGTAACCGCTTCCCCAATTTCTCCCACAGTGGTTGACCTTGGTACAACATACCAAACGACTGAAAATTTTTAAAATCAGACCATAATCATGCCCACATCCCATATAACGGTTATTTAGAGAAATAACGAAATTCCTAGATAAATCAGTAAATACCGAAGCTAATTTATTCAAAATTGATGTTTGCAATAATTCTTTACCAAAAAATACGTTTGTGATAAAATTTTGAAAAAATGGGCGTGGCACCGCCCACTTGTGACCACATATGTGAATCTCGGTAAACGTTCAATCAATTTGAACCAAACTCGGTACGATTATTGTGCTTGCCACATAAAAGCAAAACATTGAAAACTATTGAAATTGGACTAAAATTACGCCTTGCCTTGGACCTGTAGCCCACTCCAGTTGGCTAAGCAAGGCCGGTCGAATTATACAATTGTACGTTGAAACAAGTTCACCACCTTGTAACTTAAAAACTTTAGAAGAATACCTAATAAGAATTTATGTTCCGATGTACTTTAACATTAAATACTACCATTCTGTTATATGCGGCAGTCCGCTTCTATTCAAATTTATTCACCTCACGCATTTCTTCCCTCCAAGGAGCGGCAGAAATAACTCATATTTTGCTCATCCAGAAAATGTCATGCTATCAATGCTTTACAATGATCATAAATCAGTACGCGACCAGGCAATAAAAAAATTGTCTAATACCGCGACAACCTTTGCGATACAGAAGAACTTAGAGAGTACAAGTAATGTAAAATTAATTTTGACTGCTTCAATTATTTCCGTATGATAGATTTGGGTGATGACTATGTTTTAACAGAACCGCCAATTACTACATTCCGCATTCCCATTAGGAGGAATATTTAGAATTTGAAGACCCATCACTTTCTGACCCATAAGTTCCGTGCCACATATAAGGAACTGAACGATATGTTCAACTACTAACCAGTGTTTCTCGGCGCGTAACGGAAAAAAAATCGTGAAAGTGTTATGGCTGTGACTGATGTTAGTCGAAACAAATTACCACGCTTGGAAAGCAAGCAGGACTTAAAAACTTAGTTATTTAAGCATTAAAAAAATTAACCGGTTTTTGTAACCTTACACTCATAAACCAGCTATTTGTTTAAGTTTTTCCCACAAACTTTTGTATTACCTGATATGAAACTTCCCCTTAAAATTCGCTGACTCGTAATTGGTTTTAGACCCATAGTTTCTTAAGCAAAGTTGTTCAGAATGATATTTAGAGTACTTTCGGCATATGCGATTTAATGGGGAAAAAATCGACCCGTCCTAATATATATCCATATATGCACATACATACATGCATACATACATACATATTTGATATTGTTACACAAAGGTTAATGGTTCTGTAAAAGATTACTCTCAAACAGAGTTCAGATTTATTTGTTTATTTATTCAGCATACTTAGGGTGAAAGCTGTCCTCACAACCACATAAATCACGCTTAAGTATGCAGGTACATATGTACATAAATACATAAATTTGACCCACATATGTATGTATGTATGTACATTAGGGTGGTCCAAAAATGCATGGGGGAAGGGGGGGGGCGGGGGAGTAAAGTCGGAATTTTTATGCTCTCACCCCCTAGGATTGTTCTATACCGAAAAAAATATAACCCAATTTTTTTTTAATAAAAAAATATTTAGAGGTCGCTCAAAGCTCTCAAAGAGTTCCATGTATTTTATATGGAAAAAACACTTTTCGTAGAAATGGTATAGAATTCTTGAAAATCAATATTTTTCGATCGGAAAACCCTGATTCTCTTCAGGAGATTCCCAAAATACCCAATTATTTATGTAACAATTTTTTCATAGCAACTATATTTTATAGGTACGTCAAAACCCCCCGAAATGTCAGAAAATGCAATGGGGGGTTAAATGAAACGTCTTTAGTATTAATAAATTGTTTAATTGAAGAGAACCTGAGTTGTCCGGTCGAAAAATATTGATTTTCAAGAATTCCATACCATTTCTACGAAAAAGTGTTTTTTTTCACACATGCAAAACTTTGAACCTTTAAATATTTTTTAATTTCAAAATAAAAAAATAATGGTATACTTTTTTCGATATAGAACAATCCTAGCATTACAAATCCGACTTTACTCTTTTTGAACCACCCCAATGTATATATACGTATACATATGAGCATGTAAAGTGATTATATTGTTAAATCTAAGGCATCCAATTTTCTCACCTGTCATATGTACATATATGGGCAAATCTAAAAAATAGGTACACTTTCCAAAAAAAAAATTTAATTTTTAAATTTGTGAGCACACATTACATACATATCATTTTATTCGTAATCTCTTAATCAATCGATTAACATAAGTTTAATTCATTTTCATTAAGTGCTTCAAAAGTAAGACGAGGAATAAACATGAAATAGAAAACAAAAGAATAAGCTGGGTTCAAATTACGCTGTTCAAGTTTTAAATTTTGAGCAAAGATTTTAAAAGTTGAACTCACTTAATTGGGACATTCTAAATTCAATGGCTCCGGTTTTCGAGATAACGGTACTTGAATATGTAATTAAATTTTAACTATTTTATAAATAACTCCCTCAGTTTTGAAGTTATTTTACTAAAATTTTGCACATATCGGTTTTTTAATAGTACCTTAATTATTCCTTAAAATTATCGAAATGGGTTCACTGGTTCACTTTAACATATAGCTCCAATACAACTGATTACTCAGATATGTGTTTTTGCGCTATGACTCTAACATCATATCTGAATAATAAATTGTATGCGTGCTATATATTAAATTGAACCTATACTAAATTTTTACCCGCTTAATTGGAGGAGCTATAACGCAATACAACGTCTCTGAACAATCAGTTGTATGGGAGCTTGATGTTATAGTGAACCGATTTCGATGATTTTAAAAGATAGCTAAGGTAATATTTAAATACATTCGTATGGAAAATTTTAGTAAAATATCTTCAAAACTGAGGGACTTTTTTATAAAATAGTTTAAATGTAAGCAAAGTTTCAAGTACAGCTATCTCGAAAAGTGGAGCCAATCGGGCAAAACTGGGGGCGCCATTGAATTTAGAAGGCTCCAGTTAAGTAAGGGAAACTATCAGAACCTTCGTCGAAAAAAAGTTTATTCGAAATATTCTGACTACAAAGAGGAGCATCGTTAAAAGTAGTAAATCAGGGTTTTTACACACTTCTGGAGAACATTTATTTTAAGCATTTTACAGGTATATGTAATTTTATAAGGACTATTAGTTATAGAAAGATTTAGATAGTTTCGACGTATTTGCCAAATGTGCCTTCAATTAAGATGTTTTTGGAATAAAAATTACGCTCAAGTCCGCAGAATATTTTTTCTTTAAAAGTTGATTTATTCTGAAAGCACACCTCTTGCTAAGGTATCAAATTATTCGTAATTGTTTGTAGAATACAATACATACTTAAAAGTTCTTAAAATTAAAGGCTTAAAAAATTTTGAAAATTGTGAAATGTGGAGTTACAGACTTTGAGTTACTTGCCATTTCGTTATTTTTTAATGCACACTTTTCTAACACTGAGAGAAAGGATGAGTTTCGACAACTAAAGTTATTTAGTTCCCGAATTTTGACAATATTTGGAATCTGGTACCAAGGATTGAGAACTATTATTATTATTATTTTTATATTATGGTAATCATAACTAAATATATTAAAGCTTCTAATATTCATCTAGGTTGTACCAAATTGTTAATTTAGTTGAAGGGTTTGGTAAATATTAACAAATATTTCTTTGAAGCATATTTCTACAAATTCCATTCGACTTAACGTATGGTTCATAAAAGGCTATTATTAAGCGCTGCTAATGCAGATAAGCTTCTTTTAACACATGCTTTAGTCATAGTTACCAAATCTTAGTTGAGGCAACCGCAATTTGGAAATACAGTATATTTTGCTTTGCTGCCTCTATGCTTAAGTGCACATTTAAGATACCTACCCCAAAATGCGCATCAAAAGCATTATTTTTAACATTTATAAGGAAACTGCTGCGATAGATGCATTCAACATACCTGCACATTGGCGATACCTGCTTTAAAAATTGTGCGACTAGTATCAATTATCAATGAAAGTATTACGTTTACCTTCACTGGCCCTACAATTACCTAATTTTACAACCTTTTATTTAGTTTGCTCATCTCGCAGAACAACGAAAATGGCTATCAATTTATGTAGTTATATAGATAATTAGATAACATTCGGTAAAAATTTCGCTTGCAGTAATTTCTACATGGTAAGTGCTCCGCCAATATTTGGTTTCATAGGGATTCGGATACCTTCCTCATTGAAGTAGTAAAGAAAATTCGCTTAAGTGCCTTTTTCGGTTACGTGCACAAGTTTTCCGTGCAAAGAAGGATGTGCAGCTAAGCAAAATATACTGTATTCATGCTTGTGAGCCATCCCTAAAGAATGCTGAGCGCAGTGTTGCCGTTGAGAATTTTCAGAAAGACGAAAAAAGGGGTCATGGACGAAGAAAGAGTCACCATATTATGTTTGCTTTTCTTTACTAGTAGAAGAATAAATCTGTTGAATTAAAAAAGAAAATAGCGAACAAGTTTTACACAAAACAGGATTGCAAACATACACATAAATCTAGTTGCTCCAAGGAGAAGAATTGCATTTCCTTTAGCTGTTTTAAGTGATGCATTGTTTCGCACTTACAGGAGGAAATATTTTCTAATAGCATGGTTCTGCTAACATTTCCTAAAAAATCTCTGTAAGGAGGCAAAAGCCGCACATAATTTTGGAAAAGGGTCAAAAAATCAAAACTTTCAAAAAGTGGGGTCAAAGGGTATTTGCGCTTAAAAGTTGTCAAATTGCCCCTTTAGTCGCACAACGGTAACACTGGCTGAGCGCTCTCTGAGCACATGTGTGTTTCACATACGAAGAGCGCCAGCTGAGCAATGCACACAGTCAGACTTGTTGATTCGTGTGAATGTGCTAGTATGCCTACCATTATTAGTCTGTTCGAATAAACCTCCAGTGAAAAATATCCAGCAGCTACTGCAAGAGAGTAACGCACAATCCTCTCTCAAACGGAAAACTATCGAGAAAAGTACGCGAACACAAAATTTGCAAAAACTTGCAAGTTTTAGGAACAGCTGATTAATGTGTTGTTTACATTACGAGTGGTTATCTTTGACGAGTGGAATAGAAAACAAAAGCAAATTGGACGTAAAGTGTTCTCCTGGAACTTTTCGCAAGATTGAAAGCGGTAAGTTTCAATAATCGTAATTGTATATTTTTTAATTCTCATAAATTTCTAAACAAATAGATCCGGACTACCGCACAAAAATGGCTTGCGAGCTGTGGGCGAAAATTTTGAAGAAATTGTGTTTTCGCAGAATATAGAGGTAACAGATACTGGCGTTGTTGAACCATTGATAGAACCCGATGACTTTGTGTCTATCGAATATTCCGGTAACAACAGTGAAACTCCCGATGGTAAAAAGCTTGTATGGCTCGACGCGCCTACAAAATTCTTGATATAGAGAGTGAAGGATCTGCGGCCAATAGTGGGAAAGAGTGAACAACTAAAAAACAAGAAACAAATGTGGAGCACTATTAGGAGTGAACTTTGCGCTAAAGGAAGAAGAATATTCAACTCCACAATTTGTGGACCGGAAGAGGAACTTGCACTTTTCAAGAGTAAGACTTCATACGCATCTAACAAACTCTAGAAAGAAATATTTTATAATATTGTTCGTGTTTGCATTTTTATTTATAGAGAACTGGATGATGTTTTCAAGGAAAAAAATCCTTCACCCGGAGTGTGTCCTTGATAGCGAGGTTGAGGTATCATTTTAAACTAATAAGGAAATGGATGAACCTCTCAAGTCAGCGCCGTCTAAGCCAGGTACCCCCAATGTCATACTATAAATTTATATCAATAGAAATAAAAGCTCTTGTTGTTTATAGAAATCATTGACTCGACGCCGTCCACATCTAAGAAAGAGAAAAATAATTTCGATGTTTTTATGAAGAAAGTAGAGCAGAGGGAAGAGAAAAGGGAAAAAATGGACGAACACATTCAAAAGTTGTTAGAGACAAAGAAGAAAGCCTTAAAAGAAAAGAAGCTCGAGCTCAAGGAAAAGATGAAATCGAAAACCAAAAAATTGAGCTTTTGAAATCAATAGTAGATCTATTAAAAAAAATGAAACAAATATTATATTTAATAACATATCTAATATATTTCCAGTAGTCAAGAGTTTTCACCTGCTAAAGGCTAGTGATAGAACTTTTTAGAAAAGTATCGATACTAGTACTCATTTATAATACTCTAAAAAAGAATCGCTGCCACGATTCATATTTGCAAAAAAGTATCGATAATACTCGTACTTCCAAGTATTTTAAGGGCAAACGCGAAAAGTTAACAAAAATCAGATTGCTTTGTTTAAATATACATATTACCTCTTTCTTTTTGTAACTTGAATAGACATTGCTTTTAATAGCTGAAGTCTGATCTAACAAGCATTTTTAACGGAGTTTTGAAAAAGAACATGCAATAAGTTTAAAAGCGTAAAATATATGTTTATAGCAAAAGGCTTATTTGAAGCTTTTAAAAGCAACTAAAGCACTGATGGGCACTGCCTTGCCCGCGTGCAAGGTTCTCTTAAGCTTTCTATACATTTTGTATAGGCGCGAGCAGAGTAAAAGCTCTCTCTGCCCATCGCTGAACTTAAGCCATTGTCTAAAGGAAAGATAAGCTCCCTTTCACAAAAATTTTTNGAACTTTGCGCTAAAGGAAGAAGAATATTCAACTCCACAATTTGTGGACCGGAAGAGGAACGCAAACTTGCACTTTTCAAGAGTAAGACTTCATACGCATCTAACAAACTCTAGAAAGAAATATTTTATAATATTGTTCGTGTTTGCATTTTTATTTATAGAGAACTGGATGATGTTTTCAAGGAAAAAAATCCTTCACCCGGAGTGTGTCCTTGATAGCGAGGTTGAGGTTTCATTTTAAACTAATAAGGAAATGGATGAACCTCTCAAGTCAGCGCCGTCTAAGCCAGGTACCCCCAATGTCATACTATAAATTTATATCAATAGAAATAAAATCTCTTGTTGTTTATAGAAATCATTGACTCGACGCCGTCCACATCTAAGAAAGAGAAAAATAATTTCGATGTTTTTATGAAGAAAGTAGAGCAGAGGGAAGAGAAAAGGGAAAAAATGG